TCTGCACCTCCTGAAAGATTAAGTCTGAAGCCTGAATTCTGGCACTTGGGAGAGGAGAGGCACAGAAAGCCCAGTCGTGCCAAGACTTGCAGGTGTGAATGGGGCAGAATTTATCTCCCGTAAAGTCTGGAAGCAGAGTGAGCATCCGTTTGCTGACAAAGCTTATGATCAGAAAAATGAAACCTGAATTTCACATGTCAGTCTGACTGACAGCGTTATAACATGGCCTTTGCTGGCTATTCCAGAGCCACCTTTGGAAAAGAAGGGGCCTCTCTGCACCAGTCGGGTCACACAGAAAAGCTTTCAGTGGCACGTCAATGACAACAGACGTTTGTGTAAGTGAGAATATGGCTCAAAATTCATCCATTTACAGTACCTCCTTCTGTACCATATAGTCCTTTAGTACTTCTGCAAAACAAACAGTAAAACTGGTTTAACAGCAGCACCAGCTTTGAGTTTCCCAACGTGCTTTATAAAACTAAAAATCGCCAAAACAAAACAAGCTAGGAAACGGTTTTAACTAAATGCCAAGTACAGCAAGAAGAAAATCAATTCATGGGAGCAAGTAATAGCTTTTTTTTCCCTACTGTCTTTATGCTTAAGACTAAAATAGCCAAGATATATTTAATGCATGGAAGGACTGCAGCTATATATAATGCTTGAAATAGGGGCCTCCAATAGGTCTCATCAGCAGCAATAATTGTTTACCAGACACAAAAATCCTCTAGGTGTTAAACGAACACCAGGGAGTAGCATTCAAGTGACATGGAGAAAAGATTGTCCTAGGGTACCGCAAGCCAGGCGCACAGCTGTGAAATTGCTCTGGCAGACACTGTCACAGCTAATAACGTGATCCTTTCAAACACAGAGAGTCCTCATGGCATTTGTAATTTGTTAAAATTCCCAATCTGTCACTTCTTTCTGAGAACAGAAGGAGAAAACAAGCCTATACTCTGCTTGTCTGTGCATACCTCTGTTCACCAGCACTTTTTACATGTTTTACAGGATTTCTATTAAAACACTGGGCAGGTATTAAAGGGCAAGCAAAGGGAAGAATGATTTCTGTTGCTTGCATGCTTATAGCTATCTAAGGGGCAGTAGCGCAGGCATGCCAGGGAAAACAACATTTGTGAGATTCCAAACCAGCACATTCAGAAATACAGCAATTGCGATTCAGGTGGAAAGATAAACCATTGGCACCATTTAAATGAACTCTGTGTTTCTGAAATGCCAGCTGTAAAAAACTGCTGATATTTAATTTCGTTAGATATACTGCATCTGGTGTTTATGGCTTAGTGCTGTTGCCAGAGAGCCCCAGGAGCTTCGGTCTGGGAGCCAAGCCAGTGTCTACCAACTTAGTTGGACTACTGTGGATACACAAAGATCCAATATTCCTCTGATTTAAAGCTTTCAGGCAGATTTTCAGTGACTTTTGTTTTATTTATAGTTAGCATGTGCCGAGAGAAATAAAACAGTCACTTAATATGCTGCACAACTATGGGTTTATTTCCTCCAGTTTCTCATTTCAGTAGCTTATTTTGAAGCCTGGAGAACTGGAAATCTGTCTATTTCTACCTTAAGCACTCATAGGTGGATAGACACAAAGGAATTCAGTAACGGAATGCCTTTCCGTTAAAAAATAAAAAGCCAATATACAACTTTATTATAAAACTTGGATACTTACACTATTTATACAGATGGCCATCATAACTGTTATAGTCACACACGGCTAAGCGTTTTTCTTTCTGTCACCCCTTATAGCATATATTTATAAGCTTCTGTTATATGAAGCTTTGATTTATCAATGCAGATACCCTGGTGTTCTGATACTTAAAGGGTTTCAGATTATTTTCTGCTTGAAACTGCTCCCTAAAAAACCCTAAAAAAAAAAATCAGAGGAATTCTGTTCATTACATTGACAATAAATGCACGACTCAGCCTGAAGAAAATTAAGCAGGATTAGCAAAACAAAAAGCATATTCCGTCTTCAGGGAGTATTTTAAGCGTCTGAGCGGACACCAAAACACGAAATAAAAATGTGCACAATTTTATTTTGCGGGGACGTGTGGAATGCTCGGCCATCTGCTATAAACGTGAGGCTGCCAAATATCACAGATTCACACCTTGAGTTTGGAAATTGAGTTCACATGGCAAATCCAGGCATTTCTTGTGGTATCTGCATTCCATCAGCCTTTCCTTTACCTGCTACTCAGTTTCACACTTCACTGACTGTTAAGCTGGATTGCTTCACAGTTTTGAAAGTGCAGAGCCCAATTTTACCAAGTTCCATTGACTGCCATAGAGCTGCTCACAGGACACCCGACTGTATGCTTCATAGGTTTTCAGAATGGGGGAACGTAAGAAAATCAGTTTGGGAGATCAGGGCCCCTGCTCAAAGCCACTGGCAACAGGAAAGGAACAACACTGTGCATTCTAGGAAAAATTCCTCCTTCCATTCTGAAAAAGTAATCAAGAGGAAAATCCTTAAAGGCTGAACTTTAACAGGCCACCAGCTTATACTATGAAAAACCCTGCAACTTCCATGAAGATCTTCCTTAATCAAAACCCAACCACGCTTTTAATTCATATACACCTGTTCCTTGTGTGTAATTAACTGAGAATATGGGACTAGTGCACCCCTAATCGGAAGGGTGTGAAATAGATTAGGACCAAGGCAACAACAATAAAACAGGGTTTCAGGCAACTTGATTAGAAATCTTGCACGGATTCATCATCTTGCCACTGTCTATAGCACAACTTTACAGCAAGAGGTGCAAGATGATGCAAAAAGCACTCAAAAATCATTTGTTGAGTCTGGTAGGAAACCTGTTTCTAGCACCTACTGGCAACTGGCAAAATAACAAATACAGATTGCATTTCTTAAACGTTCAGCAACCTACCTAACACTTTTTTTCCACGTTGCCGTAAATGTTAAAGAGAGCTTTAAACCCTTCTAGTACTGTACTTGGTAGTCAGCTAATTAGCAGGCACACAGGCACAGATTTTAGTCATTGAAACTATGGTATACCTCCAGTGCCTTCACAGCTCTGAGCTTTGGGGTCCATGTCTGGCTGGGACACAAGACTGTTGGTATGTCTACTCCATCAAATAGGCCAGCTCACTCAGGCACCATTGTCAGTATGCCTACAATAAGACAGAGCTCAAAGTCAGATACAGTCAGGTCAAAGGAGCTGGACAAATACTCATTTTGCCTTTGCTAGATTATTTCCCTGCAGAGCTGTCCTAGCAGCAAACCTGAGCTAGCTAGCTCAAGGCTAGTCCAGGCAGCCTTGCTGAGCTGTGGTCAGTGCTGTACAGACAGAGCTACATTATCTTTTTTCTTTTGTTATTTTGTAAGGAATATCTTACATTTAATAGCATATCTGCCTTCTTGTGCCCAGGACCTGTTTTAAGTTTTGCATCCCTTTCTGTAGGATTCAACAGAAACTGCATACAGCATTGCACAGGATTAAGCTTCTGTTTTGTCTTATCTGTAGCATCACCTACCTTTTAAGCTTCATTTTCTAGGAGTACTTCCACAGCAAAGCCTGCTGCCTTCCTTGCCTGTTAGGGGACATGCACAGCATCCCTTGAAATTCTGGGATCCTTCCAGAATTCTGGATTCCTCGAGACCCTTCTCCCCTCCAACCTGCGGCAATTATTTAAAAATCACTTCACCTCTTCTGAAGGACCCAAGTTTTTTATGTAGGTCCCTGCTGGCATACATCTGTTTGGGGAAGCTCTTTGAAAAGTATCTGTTGTGAATACTACATCATTCATCAGCACTAAACCAAACGTATTTCTCAGAACTCATGTTTTTCATCTGTCTCTGGGGTTCTCCCAGTGGAATAGGGCAAAATTAAATTTAAACTAGGCTTTAAATTATTTAGTCAGAGATAATTGAGCTTGGAAAGTCATACTAGAGAATGAGCACCCAGGGAAGTAGCTAAATATGATTTTTGGAAGGAGAAGGGAAGGGAGTCGCCACGTCACATTAGGTACATAAAAATCACAAAAGTTCAAAAGTTATCAGCCCTCGTAGGAAAGGGCACAAGTTGCTCTTTTGTTCTGGTCAGGCAGAACATAATTTCCTCCAGGCTTACAAAACGCATCCTTTCTCCTCAGAAGGAGCCAGGCCCTAAGTGTTCTGAAAAATCCTGGTGACAGATTACAGCATTATTAGGGTTCAGGCACAAAGTACCTATACGTTCAAAATAAAACAAGAGCTTTTCTTACTGCCCAGGAAGACTTCCTATAAGGCATAAAAGCTAACTGGAATTAAAAGGCTCTGCTGATATCACCACTACTTTTAACTCAGCTGTGCCACAAACAGGTTTCTTCGAGGAAAGGATATTTTCTAGCTGAGTTTTACCTCGATCTATCATAAAACCAACGCTGTATGATAGCCACTCAAAACAATACCCACTCTGAGGAATTAAATAGCTCCAACAATGTCCACCCTTACTCCACTTCTCCCTCCCTAGTTATCACTGAACACTACGGATCCCCTGAATTTACCCTCATAGAGATGGAAAACAGCCCTGCTCAGGAGGGAAGCAACCGCCTGCTGAAACAACCTTTTGTAACAGTGATTTAAAAAAAAAAAAACAAATTAATAATAATAATAA